CCAAGATCTAAATACAAGGCATCTTTCCACATGTTATAGGAAGATACAAAAGTAAATAAGAGGCTTTTACTCTAAAGTGAGATGAGAGCCCTTTGGAGAGCTCTAAGTAGAGTGTTGACCTCCTATCAGAGTCACTACTATATTTTGTTGTATGGGTATTTCAACATGATTTCTTTGGGCTCTGCTTAACACGTGAAGAATCCATTTAAAAATGAAGATTTTTTTTCTGGTTTATACAAATAAGGTGTCTGCTGTTGATAAACTGCAAATGCTTTTCTCTCTTCCTTTTACCTACATTCCTTTCCCCCTTGAATCTCATAAAGGAGTTGAGATGCTGATAGTTTCATGGACCAGTGCCATTCCATGAAGAAAGCTGTGGTCTTCTATAAAAATAGCTCCCACTATTGAAAGCCCCAAGAAATGTTCCTTCACATACATCCTTCTGACAAATCCTAACAACAGTCCAGTGAGGTAGGCATGATTTCCATCTTAAAAATAAGAAAACTGAAGATCAGAGAAGCTAAATTATTTGCCTAAGGTCCCTAGGCTAAGTTAAGGGTGGAGCTGAGAGCTGACTCTAGGCCTTGCGATAATGCAACAGAAATAAAACCATCTCAGAAAGGCATTTCAGTAAATAGCATGTAGTTTTGGGGCTTGCTTTTGTGATCCAGCCCTCTGTCAACATCATACCTATTAGAATATCATACAGTAGCAAACTAATACACGTTCCTCTGTCTTGTCAACTGCCATCCATAGTCCTCACAGGCTATCAAAAAGTGCCCCTTTGTTCAGGCTGAAAATAACTCTGTGTCTTCATCCTCTTGAGTCATGGCTGCCAACCCTTCAATCTCATCAGCAGCTGCCTCACATCAGATGTACTGACAGTTTCCTTTAAACATGTACAGACTCTTCTGGTGTGGAGTGGTGACTTTGGAGATTCTTGTTTCCATGCGAGAGCTTCTTAGGATTTTTTGTTTTGTGTGTGCATTTTCTGACAATGTATTTTACTGTCTGGCTTGCCTGTTCACCCTTAAAAGCCAGACTGGTGGTTCTTCTAATAATGCAAAGTAGACACTTCCTTTCCTACTTTTGGGATACCAGTGGTATGAAATGGCAAATGAATATACAGACTGATCCATAGGTTCCATTGACTCCTGTTCTTGCGGTCTGGGAGCAATAATATACTTGATTTTAATCTTAGGTATGCAGTAACCAAAAAATGTGACCTTGGGCAAGTCTCTCCATTTCTCTGAGGGGATGGAATGTAGTCTCTTTGCAGATATAAATCTGTAATTCTTTGCCTAATCACTTCTTCCACCTTCTGTAGAATATTATTTGTGTATTGCAGCCTTCAGGGTTTTCATAAAGTGTTTTGTCACTGGGGCTCCTACAAATTGCTAGAGAGGTATAAGCATTAGATCAATAAGGGACCTTGGAGAACTTTTGATCCAATCCTTGCATTCTGCTAGCAAAAAAAAAAAAAAAAAAAAAAAACTAAACTAAAACCCAAGGAGGTACAGGAACTTGTCCTTGCCCATGCAGATCCAAAACCGGATTCCAGGACTCAGCACCTGCTCAGTGGCCTCTGTACATACTATTTCCAGTCTCTGAGTCAGAAATGGACCTTGATATTACAAACCAACTCTCCTGCCTTTTTTTTTTTTTGATAGATTCTAATTCAGTATATTATATACCCCAGTATAATATAGCCACTCGGCAAAAATATGTGGTCAGTTTTTTTTCTCACCAAATTTACACAAAATTGGAGACGCTTTCTCTGGTTGAGAATACATTGATCAGAAAATATGCAAAGTTTCAGGCATTCAGAGTAAAGTGCCTTGTTCAAAGTCATCAGAAACATGAGGGGCAGAGCCAAAACTGGAAGTAAAGAGCTCTAGAGAGACAACTGGAAGATAATGGATGGTGACAGGCTGACCATACGTCTTTCTGGCTTCCCAGAATCCAGATGGACTCCCCACCCTGTCAAGTTGATTGATTGAAGCACCACTATTAAGATAGCCACAAATCCCCAACACATGGACACAGCTGCATGTTTGTCTCTAGGAGGACCTGGGTCAGAACATAACCTTCCCTCCTACAAGCCCAAGTAGAGTTGCCACAGCCAAAGAAGAAAACAGAACCCCAATAAGGGAGTTTCATGACTGCTGGGATATAAGCAGAGAGAATGGAGGCAGACAGAAAAGAGAGCTTGCATTTGCTTTTTCTGGGGTTTCCGCTGTCTCTTAAACAAAGCTGACCCCAGGTACAAACTTGCCCTTTTCTTGTCCCAGCTTCCCTGGTTATAAAATACATGTTTGGCAACTGCCCTGAAAGTTATTAAAGCTGCAGCAGTAAACTATGGGAGGCCAGAGAATTTCAGACAAAAGTTATTGCATCAGTAACTCAGAAACTAATTCCTAAAACTCTTGACACATTTATCCAGAGGGCTAGTGCCAATATAGAAATGGAAATCATTGTCAAGGGCCACAGTGTACCTGGAATTAAAATCCATCATTCCTCACAGCAGAGAGCTATGATTTTGGCAGAATATGAATAGTCATGCATTTCTCCACCATCTTTCCTCAAAAAAAATAAGGTTCTTTCTTTTTCAGAAGAAGAAAAATTCGGCTCTCTTTGTCTCGTTTGTTTTTTTCTTAAGAACCCCATGTTTACATTTCCTTTTCAAATATTTCTTTCTTTGACAGTTCCACATTTAAACCGAAAGGCTTCCTTTACCTTATTCAATTGCACTGGTTTTATTTTGGATAGAAATCCTGCTGGGTACAGTAACAGGGAACAAACTTTACAACAGCAATAATCCCTTCTACAGCATCTATTGTGGGGAAACTTAATACACTTGTATTAAATGGCTGAGGCATTGGCTACAGTGATCTGAATTAACTACAGAAGAGCATAGTTGGAGAACAAAGCTACCTTCTTCACTCAGCAGATTCCCACTGCATGCCCAGCAACATGGCAGGACTGGAGACTCAAAACTGCCATCCAAGAGCACCCCACTGAAAAACCACCAATTGCCTTAGGCAATGACTTCATCACCAAAAGGTAGCAAAGACAGAAAAGATTTGATGGGATCCATTGTTAACAAACAGATGGAGAAACAGGCTTTCTGACTCACTTTTGGAAGACTGACAATATGCTCAGAGTTTTCAGTGTATACACACTTTGACTTGGGTTCTAAGAATTTGTCTTAAAGCAGTTTGACAGAAGTACATGACGTTAGCCTCAGCATGATAATGAAGAGGAAAACTCAGAAGCAATGTACAAATCATTAAAAATGCCATCATTGAACTAATCACGTAGTCTATATTTATCATCTCCTGACGTATCATTGGATGGCAAAGTCCAGTCACAGAGAGTGCATGTAGGATGGCCTTATTTATTCTTTTTCTTTTTAAATGTTTACTTAAATTCTGGTTAGTTAACATACAGTGCAATATTGGTGTAAGAGCTGAATTCAGCAATTTATCATTTACATACAGCAAGATAGTCTTGTTTATATAAAAGCATAGCTAAAAGGCAGCAGAAATGTTGACCCCAGTTATCTCTGGATAATGAGGTTCTGGGTGACTTTTACTTTCCTTTGTCACCTTTTCTGAATGGGTGGGTTTTTATTTTATTTTCAGTTTCTTTTATTTTGAGAGAGAGAGAGAGAGAGAGAGAATCCTCAGCAGGCTCCGCCCTGTCCAGCACAGAGCCCGATGCAGGGCTTGACTTTACAAACTGTGAGATCACAACCTGAGCCAAAATCAAGAGTTGAAAGCTCAACCAACTGAGCCATCCAGGCACCCCTTTAAGTTTTTTATTGTGAGCATCAATTTGGTTTGCAGGAGAAGGGGTGCTTTAAAAATTTTTTTTTAGCAGAAAGCTAATGTTTCTCTAAATTCCTTCGCACTTGTACTGCCCAACCTACCTACAGCCTTATGTAACGGTAGGACAACATGAAACATTGTGAGGAGTTTGATGTATACATAGGTCAAAACTCATCAATTCATATACTTTAATTCACTAAAATATACATATTAAGACATGTAATTTATTGCATGTTAAATATACCTCAATAAAACTATTTTTGAAGGAATTTAAAGGAACATGCAATTTATTGTATGACAAATATACCTTGATAAAACTGCTTTTTATGGGAAAAAATATGAAATAGTCCAGGTAATTTCCATTTGCCATGCAAAATTGTGAACATAACTATATATTTAAAAAAAAAAACCTGAGTCAATGGTGGAAAGTAAATTTGATGTTCCAATCAGTGACAGGAGGCTATTTCAGGAGGTTAATAGCATGAGTGAGGTGTAAAAAATGTTCATTCAGCTTATTCTCTGTTCTCCAGCAGTGTCAGTGTCCTTGATCAGAGACGGCTGTACAGCTCACCATTTGACCTACTTCTGTCTTCTTCTGTTTGCACCTTTTTGTAGAGTTCATGCCAATCTTAGATGCCTTTTACCCCCAAATACATGCTTCGGTGCACTTTAATTTTCCTGCAGTAAATAAATAGCCCATGCTAGCTTCCCTTAAGTAACCATATAGCAAACTCAAGGGTTCTGAGACTTTGGAATCAGAAAAAAAAATCTGAAAAATCTTCTTCCCAGAGATAATTATAAACACATCAATAAGCCTTCACTCTGCTGACAGGGTTTCTTAAGAGCATATATTCTTTTCCTGTAAGATTAACCTACCAAAATGGCCCAAAGGGGTGCCTTTGCTTGAAAGAATATGACAAAAGGAACATCAGTGGCCAGTGCCCATAGCGGGTTTGAGAAGTGGATCTCTGAGTTGGCAGGACAAGAAGAAAACAAAGGTGTGTGTGTGTGTTGATGTCAGAGTCATGGTTCTCAGAGCCCCTGGGGTTGCATCCGTTGGTGCCCACGAAGAACACGGGCCCTGAAATCACTGCAGGTTCAGGAGCTCTGTGCAGGTTAGGCCTACTTCTCATCACTGTTCTCTTCCTCTCTGTTTTCCCACACAACTAGCTGGACAGTGCTTCAGGGAAGAATTGGGCGCCCAGAGAACCCGTTCCGAGTGGCCCTGGAATACATCTCAAGTGGAAACCGAAGCTTGTCTGCAGTGGACTTCTTTGCCCTGAAGAACTGCAGTGAAGGTATCTGAATCTGGCCTTCCCCTCCACTTCTTAGTTGCTTGCTGTCTTAAGTGTGTTGATAGCCTGCCACCATGATTAGCTGTGAATGTGCTTGCTTATATAGTGAAGTCTGTGGTGCCTTGGAGCTGGTTCTGAATAGTACCAAGTGCTCCACTTCCCAGCTGATTGATTTTCAAAGATTGAGTATAACATTATATCTGTTTACCTTAAAACTTCATCAAACAGAATATAGTCTTTGTTAGAGAACATATCAGCTTAACTTCCCTGGCTGCCAAATGCTTTCAACTACATTGTTTTGTGGGGGTTTTTTTGTTTGTTTGGTTGGTTTTTACTGTGGAAAAGTTCAAATGTGTACAAATAAATAGAATAGTACAATGACCCCCATACACCCTCAACCCAATTACAATAGTTATCAATATGATGCCATTTTTGTTTCACCTGTATCTCTCCCCACTCCTCACCCCACCAACTTGATAGTGATTATCATTTCCCCTTTTTTCCCTGAGACAAAACTTATGGCTAAGTATTTTTAATGACTTGACTTCTGCAATTATTTAGGGGAAACTTGGGAAATGGTTTTATATGCAACTTTTGCTTATTTTGTAAATCCCATGAAGGTATGGTCCACTCTGTCATTGAATTCCTTTCGTGTAAGTCACACATTGTGTATTTATTTCAAGATTTATTCCCAAGAAAATGCATCTCTCTCCTAAAGAATGCTTTGTTGTTCCTTTTTTCTCTTTGCCTGTGTTGCCAGGAAACTCTGAACTCAATGCAGTACTCAACCCCAGTAATTATAGCTGTATGTGGTTTTGATAAGTTTATTTCGCCTCCCTCTACAGCTTTTTTGACCTTCTACCTTCTACTTTTCAAGATCACATCTCGTATGTATCGTTTATCAGATATTGCTTCAGGTCTGAATAGTAAACAGGAGGAAATGAATCAATAGATAAATGAGGGTGATTTTTCCTTGATTGTTTAGAAGACATAGCATCATAACTATAAACATCCTTTATTGTTTCCCTCATGTAGAAGGTATAGGAGATGGGTTTGAATCATACAATCTTCAGGAAAAGTTGCTTTCGTTACTGTTATTCTGCTGTGCCTGCCTCTGACCAGAGGTTCACTGGGAAGGGAGATCTCAGGTGTGCCATGGAATCTGTAGTCTAAGCGGCCCAAGAATAAAGTATGGAGAGGAAGGAAGCCTGTAGCACTCCCAGACCTAAGTTCTCAACTGAGACTGTTCATGAACAACCATGAAGGCCCATAACACCCAGCAATCTGTTGCGTACAGAAAACCCCAGCTTTAAACCTTGGGCCTCTTACAGGTGATGTACAAAGGGAACTCCCTTAAGAGACTCCCGACCACCCAGTTTCTTATGCTGTAAGGGCTCTTCATTCACTGCTGGTCTTGTAAGAACCTTCACAAAGTGGTTTTCTTTTTCCTTTAATGAAAACTGGTTTATGTGTGAGAAAAAGAAAAAAACATCATAATGTGATAGATTGAACTTCAGTTCAAGTTGAAAAGGTGGTTAACCTGTGATGTGAGGCAATGTATAAGAAACATGTGGTTTGGGAGAAAGCCAGGAGCTTGTACAAATGTTTCCACATTCACAAACTTGGGGATTTGTGAATGGCTCTGGACACCATCAATCCTCACAGATGTCAAGGGTCTGTGTACTGTCCAAAAGAGGCCATCTGTTGAAGTGGAGCCAGTAAACAGGAATGTGACAGGGAAAAGGTATCAGTTCCCAGAACTGGCCTAATCTCATTTGAGTAATGTCAAGAGAAGGGAATAAGAGGCTACAAAACTCCAAATATCAGGCCCAGCCAAAATACATCTGCAAAAATTCTTTGTACCTCTGAATCAAGGATCTCTCCAAATTTTTCCTCCCTTACCCCTATGACTCCCTTTCACCTGCAAAATTCTTCCTGTGTATCTTATGTTACATTAGCAGTGAGTTTGTTGCAGGGTTTAAAAACCTGTTTCTTGTCTGCTTCTCTACCCTTATGAAACCAAGAAAGTTGACCCCTCTTCATCCAAAAAGTGTGTCTCCTGGAAGGACACTTTCTTGGAGGAGGGAGGAAAGAAGTCTGCTTCTAATTCCCTAGAGAAGGTTGATTGGCCAAGAGACCTCAGAAGGTTCTCAGGTGCCAGCTACCTTCCTTCAGAGGCTTCATGTATAAGAACAGATGGTCTCCATGGAGAAGCAGATGTTCTCTGCACCCCTTCTCTGACTTGGACTCCTGAGACCACCAAGGGGTATGAAGGTACCAGTGTGGATATGTAAAGCACAGAGCAGAGAAAAACAAAGTAATTCTTGTGCCTCCTGAGAACTTCCAATTTTCCCTCCCATGGTAGAATGATTTCAGGTGCACGTCAGTTGGTGTGGACAAGTTGCAGACATAAGAAGCATCCTAAAACCACATTCACATCTTTAAATGAAAGGAGTGATGCACACTCAAAGCCTATTTGATGTAGACACATGTCTATGTTGTCTTAGGTCATTGCTTTGGTTTAGCTCATGAAAGGAAGGAGATAAGGAGAGAGAAGTACTGTCTTTGAGAGAGTGAACAGGGCTAGTGGCATGTTAGCTAGGGTTTTAGATAGGTCTACAGGATACTTGGCCTGTTTTCTGATAGTAACTTGGTCCCCTCCTGATGAGGCACAGACAGAATATGAAAGGAGACACCTCTGTAGAACTCTGCAGCTCTTCCTCGGCCTGCATGGGGAGAAGTGCCATTTTAGTTAGTCTGGAGAAGACTTACAGGGGATGTGGGGACAATTTTCCCCATATAGGAGATGGTACTTATTTGTGGGTGTCATAGATAGAGGCCATACCTCTTTCCTCTCTGAATCCTGAGCTGCCATCACAGTGTGTAACACTTAATAGGTGCTCAGTTAATAAGTAATAAAAGTTTAACATCAACAGAGCACTTACCATGCACGAAGGGAAGTGCTGATCCTTTCACGTGTGTTATCTCATGTGAACTTTACAATAGTGCTGTAAAGCAGGTTCTATTATCATATTTTACAGATGGGGAAACTGAAGCTCACAGAAGTCTCAAAACTTGCCCAGGTCATTCAGTTAGGGAAAGATAGAGCCAAACTCAATCCCAAGTCAGTGTGACCACCATACCAGTGTTTCTGTCCATGCCATTCTACCACCTTTATGGACTGTATAGAGGAGAGGTGTGTATTTATTACCAGAAGATTTAGAATTAGCTTTGACTCATCCCCTTATCCCTACATCCAAATGGCCAATCCCTGGGCTCTAGACTCGTGGCTGCCTTATATCCTATCTGTTGCTATCTAGATGCTACTCTTGTTGTCTCTTGAATGTACCCTTTTGACTTCATTTCCATAGCAATGTACCTTATCTGGGCCTTTGTTACACATTCCTGGGCTTTGGCAGTAGCCAGCTAGTCTCCCTGATACCATGGCCCATCCCTAACACATTGCCCCACCAATCTGCCCAAATTTCCCTTTCTTTGTGGCACTTTCATGATATCTCAGTAACTTATTGCCTCCCACATCAGAAATATGGGGGTGGGGGCGGTTAGAGTGGGCCACCTCAGTTATTCCTGAGTCCAGGAAAGTGATGGGCTGGGGATCACCCAGCTGGTTGGTGGTAGAGCTAGAAGTGACATCAGAGCCATCTTGACTCCAGCTTCAGTATTTTCACCACTGTTTAGTCCTGCCTGAAAAGCCTGAGTGTCTCTGCCTGATTTCCAAGCTTCTTTACAATCTAGCCTCAGTACCTGTCCAGCATTATGCCTTCTGTTCTCCCATACCTCCTGCCCTCTAGTCAGACAGGTTTTCTGTCCACTGCATCAGAAATGGCCGGCTTGGTCCCAGGCCTTCCATTTTGAATGCAGACTCATCATTTAGGATCCAGTGTAGGGCCCAAACCCTCCAGAACATCATTCATAGCTATAGAAATCTTTCTCAGAATGCTTTGCTCTCTACATCTAAATTTAGCAGCTGTTTTACAATCATTTCCCAGTTAGTTATTTTGGGACCGTAACTTGAGGTTTGGGATCTTGTCTTATATTTCTTTTATTTCTCCAGGGAGCATGTAACACAGTGCTAAACACATAGAAAACACTACATAAATATTTGTTGACTGCTTGTTAGTTAATCATTGATAAATGCTTCTCCTGCTTTTATAGCTTTGGGCTATTACCCTTATTTCCAAAAGAGGTAGCAGTGGGTGGAAATTTGTTAGAAGAGGTTTTTCCCTGATGTTAAAAAAAAAATGTTGGTAAATTCGGCAGTAATGGGAAAGATATCAGCCTCCAGATACCCATGCCTGGGCTCCCAGGAAACCCTTCACCCATTCACAAAGACCTTTCTTCAGCAGACAGGCCAAAGCAATAGAATTGTGCTGGACACTCATCAGGACCCCTCATGTTCAGAGGACTCTACAGAAAAAACACATCAGAAGGGGCAGGACTAGCTTCTTGAAATTGATTTGAAAAAACACTGTGCCTTTTAGCAGCTCATAAGAATATATACTATTGCAAACACCACATCACACCTTCTATATGCCAGGCCCTATTCTAAATTTTTTGCATATGTTAACTCATTTAAGCCTTACAATAATATTATTAGGTATGTATTATCATTATCAGCATTTCCATTATATAGATGGGGAAATCAAGGCACAGAGACTTAAGTAATTTACCCCAAGTCTCACAGCTGATATTGGAACAGAGCTCATCTACTCTAGTATCCATGCTTTTAGCTGCTGTATGTTGCTGCTACCTCCTGGAAATCACCCCAGAAAGCATGTATTCTGCCTCCCTGAGCAGTGGAAATTGAATGAACAAACCACCCCAAAGATTTACCTTGAACTTTGACACACTAAATTATTGACCATCCCAATGTGATTTCTTTTTTTGTTTGTTTTTTGTTTTTTGTTTTTTTTAATTTTATTTGTTAATAGTTTATTGTCAAGTTGGTTTCCATATAACACCCAGTGCTCATCCCCACAAGT